CTTACACTGCTAAATTAGGGACAGCTAGCGCAGATAGCCCTCCTGTACCTTTGCGCGATATTCAAAAACAAACAAACTTTTTTTATCCCACAATGCCGCTAGTCAAAATCAATGGGAAATAATATCTCGGATTGTTGTTCTTAGTTTCGCGATCATAGATCGTGACTGTGAATATCCGACTGGATTGAGGGTGTGCTATGTCGCTATTCATACTCATAAGAACATTATCAGGCGAAGATTACGAATGATGCCCTCCACTGTAAGAACAGTGCGTTGTTGGATCACAAAGAAATGGCACTTCAGAATATTCTTGTAACTTCTAGTTTTAAACTAACGTTGAAGATTTTGAATTGTAAATACAGTTCTCGTAACAGATTATTGTTGTTTTTTCTATTGTATATAGAAAAGCACCACCAAAGAATACGGACAGCTTACGAACATGTTTTTTACAAACCTGAGCCACTTTGTTTAGGTTTAGGCTGTGTTTTCATTTTGTATTGAATGTTCTTACGGCTCATACTCACACTTCAAAAATGCCGAACCCAAATCCAGTTGAAAAGTCAATAACTTCAGTTATGAAAAGACGAAACTACTTGAAATTAAAAGTTAAATAAAGAATATACTATTGAGAAAAAAAAACATAAAACACAAAATATGGAAAAAAACTATAAGTAGCAAAATAGGAAAAACTGAATATATATATATCATATTTGCTTTGTAGTCGAGCTCTGCTCCTTGTTTATTATATCGTTAGCAGAAAATTTAACTTTACTTGTCAGACAACAACGAGAAGAAGTTCGTAGAAAATTATACATGAATGAACAAAGCGAAGGCTCCATCCATCCTCTCACTAAGTAGAAGTCGTAATACTTGTGTATATTATGTCAACGGAGTATATAACGAAAACCGAGATTTTTTCTTAATTTGTATATCTTAGGTTGAATATTTTAGGCTTCTTTCAAAATGTCTAGCATATATATTTTAATTATCTGAAAGTTTTCTATTTTAAATTCACTTTCATTACGAAAAGACATAATGCAGTTTTGTTTACGATTGAACCAGCTCATTTTCAGTGACGTCATTTCCTGACAATAAGCGAAAGTCAATGAGATTGTATATTGTAGTTCGTGATTGGACAGAATTGTCACGTGCTCCTGCCTTCGTCAGCCCTCCTCTTGAACCAACAGAGTCAATGTAAGGTGCTGGCTAGATTAGAAAGGACTCATTTCTGTAGAGACTCTGTTAGAATGTGGTTAACTTGAAGATAAAACAACACGCCTGTATATTCTGTGAGCTCCACGTTCATCAGACGAACTCTACAATAATCATACTAGTGAACCAGCTTCTGAATGAAGAAACGGTGTTTATGCTTGGAGTTTTGCCCAGGTGAGCTGACTGTTTCGTTTAAACTCTCCATAGCACAACTAAACGTCAAGACTCATATTACAGGTCTGCTCCTAATGAGGGGTGTTATTAGTGTTGTTTCAAACACTTTATTTCAAAATTATGCCTTGTCTTGAGTACTTTAAGAAGCAACAAGCCATGAATCAGGATCACCAAGTGTCTCCCCAGTGGCTTGTCGAGCAAATCTGTCACCACGGCCAAATTTTGCCCTTTGACTGCCGGTCGAGCACAGAGTATCACCACCTTCACGTCCGCGATGCCATCAATGTTGTCGTTCCACCGTCTATTCTAATGCTACGGCGAATTACAGATGGGAAATTGACAGTTTCTAGTTTAATCAAAGACATTGAAAGCCGTGAAAAGTTCATGAGACTGAACCAAACGCACATTATCGTTTTATACAACAAGGGAGGTGAAGAATCAGTCGAGGTCCTTACCACTCTGCTACGGAGACTCGAGCAAGATGGCTGTCGTGCTGTTTATTTACAAGGTAAGTTAAAGCCACCTTCGGTGTTCTACTGTTATAATTGGGTGCTTGAAACTGTTTCATGTGTTATAGTACTCAGAAATTTCTTAATTACGAAAATATGTATTGTTACTATTTAGTCCATGTAGTAAGTCAAATAAGTTCAGTACTATACTGTAAAGCGTTTTTAGTAGGGTTATAAATATAATTTTCAACACATACTTTGTCAGTTCTTTAAAATTAAAGTTTAATGTCTATTGCTCTTACAGTTTTAACGCTGATTGCCTTTTTGGAAGAGTACTATTGAGTATTGTCTTTGTTTTTGTGCAAATAATTTTATGAAAATAAGGATAATATCTGGCAGAAACAATGATTTGGAATGATATATTTATTCATCATACAAAATCCCCATTCATCAACGTCAAGAACAGCATTTTCAAATTATTGTTTTCTTATTTAATAAGACAGATGCATAAAATAAACTGTGAAGTTTGATGCTTTTACGTCTGCATTATTCGTTTGCATCTTTGTTTTATTAATAACAGTCATTTCTCACGTTAAATTAACAAGAGAAGTGTATTATGAAAATTATGCGTGAAACTAGTCACCATATCACACTAGGAGCAAGCAGTCCATAGGAAACTATTGATGTTTTAACACCTAATATAACTACACTTTTCATACAGAAGAACAGCTTAGTTTGATATATGGTAATGCGTTTTTCTTGATTGTATGTAATGTCATATTCTAAGATCAAGACGACATACATCTTAATGATCTTAGATATAAAGGTAAACGGCGATAAATAGATGACCAAAGTCGTTTTACACGAACACCAACACCGTGGACATAAATATCCAGCCTCGTTAGAGATATTCAAATAGCCGATAAATTGAGAAACTGAAAAATATCAGAAGAACTGTAAAGACAGCTTTCATTAATTATTATATATTGTTGTAGATTTTGTGGTCAGTAGAAATTAGAGTATTTTGTTTGTCGCGTGATATGATGGTGCTTCCACTTACAACGGCATATTATAAACGGCCTATATGTTTAGCAGGTTACTATTGTACCAATAGTATTATAATATAAAGTTTAAGGAATACACAGTGAAAATTGTAAAAATTAGATTTCATGAAATGGATTGAATCAATATGTAGTTGCAGATATGAAGCCCTAAAAAGTAATGTTCAATTTAGTGATAAAATTGAAATAACGACGTTCGTAAATGTTGGTGTGTAAACCAAACTTATTAAGAGGAAACAAAACATGGTAAATGTAAATACATGAAAAGGATCAGAACAAAGTCCTCAGTTCTAGTAACTAGTAGCATAAAAAGAAAACCTTTCCAATTTTTTATTTGGGAATAATTCAAGATTAAGATCAAATAGTTTTAAAATGGCAATGATAGTTGTGGCTGTCCAAGTTTGAGACGTTTGGACTCTTAGAAAGTGTCCGTTCATGCAGTTGTTATTATTAGGCGTACCGTTGCATTTTCAGCGAAATGTCTTCGAAAATACATCTTATAACTAGTTAAAATCTAAGTAATTTCTAACAGTCTCAAGGTAATCACTGTAGAACCTCCTTAATGAGATGAGTTCTCAGTTTAATGCAAAAGCAGTTTATGTGAGTGTTTTAAAGCCTGTAGGAAATGTATGAGTTTTAAATTGTATATTTCCAGCTCTAAATTCGATTGTATGTAGGAACAATATACGTTTATAACTGATACCCAAAACTTATGTCCGGTTACAAATACCTTGTTCCGGATATTGTTGTTTGACCCCGTGTCGAATCGGTCCATGCTCAAGGGGAAAGGGGAGAAGGAGCGGGGGAGCTTCATGGCTGAGAGGGTGGGAAAAACACCGAGAACACAGCATTAGCAACACGCGTGACTACTGCTTTCCGGTCCGGGATAGAGGCTGTGGGCCTAAGGAAACTGACATCGAAGACTAATAGCAGTAGCCGCGAACTAAGAAGTTCCTAATTACAGCCTATGGGGAAGAAAGAGCAACAGATTATTCAAGAAAGTAGACGGACCTTTCTGTTCAGCTAGATTGCATTTCCTGTTATAACTTTTTTTTATTGTTCGCCTGAAATATAAAGAGCTTAGCTTACAGTATCGCGACTCAATTGTGGTAACTAAGAGTAAAATTAACGGCAGTCTTTTGGCCACGGCTTGTTCACGTGCTTTATACACACCCAATTCTACGATCCTTGGGTACAAGACTGTCAATTACTGACTCCATTTTGTAACGATGACAACTGGCGTAAGTAGAATAAAACATATAGCAAACACTAATAAATGTTCGTAATAAACTATTACATTTACCATAACTACGTTTTAAAGACCTGTAAGTAGTAAAATAATATATGCTTCGTGTTAAAGCAATTATTCACATTTGGTTACTTGTGTGTTTGGGGGGAGAGAGACACTGGAAATCTTTAATTAAATCGAATGTTTATGTAATACAAGATTTAAGTTTAGCGGGCGGAATGTTTATAACGTAATATAAGTTTCCATAAACGATTAACAGGAACTATATATAAAGCCGTGGGTGTGCTGTTAAATTTATGTATAAATAATGTTTTAGGTTTTATCTGACCGAAAACATCCCCCGGTGGCCCAGCGGTAAATTCGAGGGCTTTCAACGCTAAACATCGTGTTTCGATACCCGTGATGGGCAGAACACCAATATTCCATTGTAGTTTTCCCTTAACGACAAACAAATTGAGACTGGAAAACCAGTCTTCACTTAAATATGAAACAGGATGTAACAAAGAATAACTTGTGAGAAAACTGACAAACTAAAGTGAGAATACGAGTTAAATATTTGAGCTTTTTAGCCATTTTAACAAAACTGTTAAGCCACTTGTAAAATTACATGTTAGTAAAAAGAAGGTTAGGTTGATGTTAATCGCAGTATGATTAGTAGACCGTGACGGTTCCCACTATTGCACAATGTAAAGGACAACGCAGTTTTAATTAGGCTGATAGGAAGTTAATATTAATCAAACTGATATAAAAATATCCATACATTGCGTTTAGAAAGTTTCGATAAAGTCATTAGGTAAGGATATTCAAGACATTGATATAGTTAGGATTAGTAAAACTCACAACATTGATTAGTCTGCGTCGTAAGTTATTCTGTGTGTTTGATAATACTTCGCAGACAACTACACGAAACGTATCATTTTATGGAGATAATGTTATAAAAAATAATAATGTGAATAAAAAACGTTTCCAGTTGTCTAAGATGCCCAAGGACTTTGGTTGAGGTCGTTTTAGGTGATTCTTATAATACATGGGCGATTAAAGAACAAGTTTTTAAGGCTTACATCCTGTAGTGGGTGTGCCGCCCCACGAGCCGGAGCCATGTTGTCTGATCACGGGGAGTGGCGCGTGTGTGCGAGCTTAATGCTGTAGTGTTGGATGTGGCTGTCAAGATAGAAGCAAACAGGGAGCGCCCGAATCCTGAGGGCAAACTGTGCATTGACGTCTGTTCCCCTCTTCCCCTCTTTTCCATTCACAACATTGGCTAGAGGCCAACCAACTAGTCAGCCTTGCAATGTTGCCTAGGGTATGATAACAAGTGTTGGAGATCATAACTTATATCCTCACGAGACTTGATCCTTCGTGCTTCGTACAAGTACTCTTTATATGTGTGTTTCTGTGTTCAGCTGAGCATAAATACTTGAAAAATAAACACATAGCTTGCATCCACAGTTTGTAATGATATTTTAGTTGTACTGCAGCATTTCCAAACTTTCATCCATTATGACACTTTTTGTTTTGTTTATAATTGTGAATTTTATTTCAACTCTGTAATTAACCAGATCCGCTCTTTTGATCATGAATCAACTTCGTTAACTTTTAACCTGATTTGTATGAAAAAAAAAAATTATATATATATATAGTGACAAATTTTATATTAATCTCTTATTTATCATTATCACAAACTCAAAAGTTTATGTACCATGAGATCAGAAAAAAATATATTAAAGTTAGATGTGAAATAAACATATTGGATGTATTGTAACCATTATGTAATTTTCAATGGTTCTAAGTTTTATTTTTTATTAATATCTAACATTCGGTGATTACTGTTCATATTTTTACCAGAAGTTTTTAATTGGTTTTCACAGGAGGATTCGAGAGCTTTCAAGCACAGTTTCCGGAATGGTGCGAAGCAGAGGGTCAGGAAATTAATCCAGTTGAATCAGAAATCTTAGGCCTAGAAACCCTGAGGATTACAGCACCTTCTGACGGCGCAGATTCTGACCAAGATCGCTGTGATAGTGGCTTCACGAAGGACTCCGCCAGCCCCAGTGATACACCATTTCCGGTCGAAATATTACCTTACCTCTTTCTTGGAAACGCCGAGAACTCCCAAGATTTACAGGCCCTCAAGAAACATCGCATCGTGTACATCCTAAATGTCACCCCTGATTTACCGAACGTATTTGAGGATAAAGGGCTTGGATTTCATTACATGCACATTCCGATTCAGGACCACTGGTCTCAAAACCTAGGAAGCTTCTTCACGAAGGCAATCACTTTTATTGGTTAGTATTCAGTTTTCATAAAATAACTGGGAAACTTTATACAACTGTTGTGCTTATCTGACAGACTAACGTAGACGCTTTTGTTTTATCAACCTTTTTTCCCGATTCCTTTATTCAGTTTTAATATCAACAGATCGTTTTTAGAAAGGTACCGAATAAAACAAAAATGTTGCTAATTTATCTGATTTCGTTCTATGTCATGAACAATTACTAGTTGCTCTGTAATGTAGATTCTCATTCGACCATACTTGGTTTCTAACGATTATTACCGTCTCATTCAACAACAGTGTTAGCAGAAAGATTCAAGAAAAGGAGAATTAAAATTTTGAGTGGCTCGTGCTAACTTTATTAGTCCATTCATACAGACCAGTATGTCATATACTCCACCTACATTCCATTCAAGTATCGCATAGCTGTTTTACGTCTACTTCAGCACATTCACTTGTTATTGTCACGGAAGAGACGCAGTGTGTCAGGGCATGCGCAATGTAAAAGTCGATAGCATAGCGTGAACGAATGTCTGTACTCGAGCGGTTATAAGGCGGTGATTTTGCTTCCCACACATCGCCTACATGTACACGTACAACGCGTGGACATGCTAACGACACTATAAATGAAGCGTTGAGTAAACCATGCACACACATATGTATGAATATGATAAACACCAGCAATAAATATTTTAAATGTTTTATAAAAGCTGAATAGATCCTAAGGATATACATGATTCGTATTCAGTTTGTCAGAAAAACAAATTTAATGTGAATCCAGTATTAATAAAACAATTAATGAATATATTCAAAGATTCGTACTTACAAGCTTTGAAAGAAAGGGTATACACACTCTTGTTTACCTATCTCTGTACCTGAAAGTATACTGTAGGTAGCATGTAATAAATAATACTCACCTTACTAAAATAGTGCTTCTTTTTTTTCACTTATGGCATGTTTTACACGAAATATGAACATTATGGAACTGAAATATATATATATATGTAGAGAGAGAGAGAAAGAAAGATAGATAGATAATTAATCATTAATAGATTTTAAGTAAAGGAAATTAAGGTCCAACCGGGATCCAAAAGGTTTTGAATGAAGGAAGAATTTTTTACGAATTTCAAGTGGGACGTGTTTTACTAAGTATGCTCATTGCTACTGTTAATACAACTTTTGTCTAAACTATATCCAAATGAACCCCGTTGCTCACTTCTCTCAACTGACAGTTAAGTATGGAAGATTCTGTCTTGTAAACTTGTAGTTATTTTGGTTAGTTATTTATGCCATAAGTTCTTTATTAAAATGAACGATCAAAAAATTGACAATTCGCAGTTTTCTCTTTCATGGCTTATATTTAAGACCTCGTAGATATTTTGTGCTTGAAACAAATTTGAATTTATTGATATTTTAGTTATTTATAATTTCGTTTCAAAATATTCTCAATAAATAAACCTCTCTATAGTGACATTTTCGAGGACACTCGCACACTGACGTATAAAGAGAATCGGTGAATTTGGCACCCACCAACATGGTACACTAGCTTTAATTTATGATATACGCTGATTGACACGTGTGAGTCAAGATCCTCCATAAACAGGTAGAACCCACGTGTTTATTTTTGTAACATGAAATTGGCACCAATTTCTTGCCGGCTTGTCAGAACTTTGGTTGTTACACTAAAATAATCGGACCGCTGTCGAACAGTGATTGTCGGGTTCTTTCTGCTAGGCCTGGCTGTGCTTACATGTGTTTTTGTCAAAGATCCGAATTCAGTTTCTGTTAAAATGACTCGCTCCCAGCAACGGAGATAACACCAACTCCCTTATTTAGCTCTGCTGTTCACAGAACTTTTCCGTACTTGATAACAGTTTGTAGAAAATGATTTTATACAAAATTCCATGTAGGCACCTTCCAACCTGATAGTCGTAATTTCTATCAACGTAAGCAGCATAACGTTTCAAAAATACAGAACTTTTGTCGTTACAGAATTGTAAAGTAAGGAAACATTTTCATTTTGTATACAGTTTGTTTAAATTCAAAGAATAGGCCAGTTACTGATATGCATTTCAGGAAGGGGAGTAGGTCCTTTTGGAAAGAAAATTATCGTCAGTAAAAGGAGGTTTCGAATAAACACCCTTCCGGTCTTCTGTTTATTCATTGTTTAGGAAAGTAGAATTTGTCATTCATCAAACGGAACTGTGCCTCTGCAGCTTATGCAATGGAGGGGTGTGGCCTTTAGAAGGAAGTCTTCTATGCGAGCTGGGTGAGGACTAGGGATGGGGTGGTGGTTTTATTTAGCAGGCCGATCCCGCCAACGACATCCGGTGGCAGGTGAACCCACCCACACTCAAAAGAAAAGGAAGGGTAATTGAACACTCGGAAAATGGACCAGCTGAAGTATCAAAGTGTTTTTTCGCGTCTTTGACTATAACATGTGTGGTGGTGTGGAAATGTTAAGACACGTACTTCCGCTTGGAGTTTCCTGTCAGCCACATCCTGTGTTTTGTGTAGGCAGGGGGAAAAGTGAAAATATACTTTTAAAGCTTCATTAGACCTTCTCTTATGCTCGATAGAATAAACAACGCTTGTGGTTTAGCCCTAACTTCGAGTTTCCAGAAGATAAGCAATCCTCATTTTAGTAACTTCTGGGTAATAGTGCTTCAAGTTTACCATGTTGTTACAGCTGGATGATGGATCCATAAAATACTGCCTAACACACACTAGATATATAATTATATATGTTTAGACGAAGTTGAAGGGGTATAACTTAACATTCGTGATATAAGCGATACGTAGCTGTAAATAGATTTTTTGGTCACGAGAAATAAATGGCTACCGAAATAGATTACAAAGTATATATAAAATATTTACTCTTGCATAGACCAACATATTAGTCACACTATATTTGAAACTGGGGTTCTGAAGTGCTTTTGTTTTTTCGTCTTACGTCAATTGGAAATATGATTCGTACGTCGATCTGTCACATGATTATTCATAGTTTTTTCATAGAATAAATTTTCGCTAGTCATCTGATAACGATTTCACTCCAGTCTTGCTTACGATTAGAGAAAAAAATCAATATTAGATCACGTATGATCTGATTAATATATTGTTTGATTAAGTCACTTTCTAATCAAAATGACCAGTACGTTCAGCAGAAGCATAAAACTTATGTAAATCATGCATAGTATGAGAATGCCATGTAAAATATCTCTTCATGTTCATTCTAAGCCCCTCTTTTGTGAAGCCCGGTCAATGCATATGGTTTAAGATCCTCTAGTACTTTCAGTTCGTATGGTACTGTTGTAGAGCTCCTCCCCCCCCCCCTTCACTGGTTTTCTTTGTGACATGTATTTATGTCGTTGTGAATGATGTGATGTTATATAGAGAGAATACTGTTTGGTGCAACGTCGATTGAGGAGGGAGGGAAGGACGAATCTTTAAAATATCCATATACTTTTGTATAAAGATCTCTCTTTGGACACGGTCCCTGATTGTGTAGAGCGTGGGAATGTTGGATAGAGTCACGTGACCAAACGGAAGTTGACAGCGAGGAATAAACAGGTGCGCCTTAAAGATTTTTCAATGAGGGCCTGATGTGTGAAGAAAGGAAGTTTTTTAGAAGGAGGGGGGGGGGTTATATTGATGGTTTGTAAGAAATGTTGGGGGAAAGGGTACACAATTGCTTTGCCTGAGGAAGTCTCTTGACCGGATGCAACGAATTCGAGGCTGTTTAGTGTTCTTAAAGTCATTCCAAAAACATTTTTAGGCCATAAGAATTATTTACCTGCAAGATTGATGTCAGAAAATTATTATAAATCTTTTGACGGATATTATAAAGAAAAGAGGAAGATTTGTGTGTCAGGAAATCTTTGTAGAAGTGAAAAGTATTGAATAAATTAAATATGGTTTACTGATAATTATATATATGTTTATTTTAAGCCATTAAGTTTATCAGCATCGAAAAACGAATTTTCCAGTCATTGCTATGTACATAAAACGAGAGATTGCACGTACATTTTTACAGTATTAGAATATTTTACGAATAGTAAAGTACGCAGTAGGGGGGCCCTACCGTTTAGGCTTGAGTCAGTATTGTTTAACTTTTCCGTATTCAGTCTTATTTAAATATATATATAAGAAAGACGACTAAGTTACCCTTCTTTAGAAATGAATTTTCATAGTAAAGACAAATACATTTTGCAACTGTATGTTTGAATGATTTGTATGATATACAGTATCTTGAGGAGGTTTCGGGGTCGGTCAGGGTTTTAAAAATATCCTTTTTGTTGGCCTTCTCGTGAGTCTCCCACCGAGTTCTTCTTCAGATGAATACATGTCAAATCTTTGATTAACCTTTAGTTTAACATGGCGCGGTTGACCCGCGACTTCATGGCACCAGTGACGCCTTATTTTTCGTTGTCTTCTCTTACCGTTGCCTTGCCAGAGGGAAGGCTGAGGTAGCCTTCTATTTTTTTTTCAGACCGCTTGCAGTGTCTTGCAGCAAGTGTTTATACCCTCGAGTGCTTTTCTTGGTGTTTATGTTTATATAACACACAGTCCGTAGTTTATTTTAAAAGAAGGAGAATTTTACAGACTCTGGCTTACTGATTCCATGATTTATTTATACTTGATTTTTTAAAACTTTATCAGAACGAAACGTTCTATTTTAGATCTTAACAAGATGCTGACACGGTGAACAGATATAAACATATTAGAGAAGGTATTAAAAATAGAGCCATGTTAGTGAACTAATATCCAGAATGGAAGGCAAAAACTTAAAAGAAATGATAAAACTGAATTAATTTAGAGAACGTATAACAAAAACAGGAGAACACAATAGAAAACTGATGGCAAGGAAATCTGAAACAGACAACGTCCGTAAAAGTGTTAAAACCACGTTGTTCCATAAAAGTATCGAGTATTGTAAAGTTAGAAGCACATTATTCTTGTCACGAGCCACGATCTAGTAAGTCATCCGATAGAGAAGGGTATTATCAACAGTATTCCACAAGTACAAAAGGAAATATTTACTGCGTGTTGTGTATTACGATTATCATTCATCCATTGTAGCGTACATTTAGCCAGTGTTATATTGCATCAACCATTTTTTAATTGACATGTAGTTATGTCAAATTAATATAGGGCCAGGCGTTGCCCACTGTTAGCGTGCCGGACTGTAAATACAAAGGTCCCATTGCCGAAAAAACGTGTTCCGTATCTTGGCATATTATAATAATGACTGCCAAATCCACCTATTAGACTATAATAGATTAAGAGTTGGCGGTGGGTGCTGTTGACTATAACACGAATGGTAATCTTAAAAGTGATAGTGGTATTATTTGGAATTCAATATTAAATAATATATATATATGAAATTTTATTTTACTGATCTTAACATTTGAAATGCTTTAAACCACTGTTGGTCCACTTGTTTCTCCATCATTCAAATGTATATAACGAATGTTAGTAAACTATTTACACAACATCTAATTTTCTTGTTCTGAGTCTTAGAACATGGTATTATTTAATGGGTATTATTTGGAATTCAATATTAAATAATATATATATATATATATGAAATTTTATTATACTGATCTTAACATTTGAAATACTTTAAACCACTGTTGTATACATTGTTTTATTAAGGATATTATCGATAATAATTCTCTCCTTAATTCTTTACAGATGAGGCTCGCCAAAGGAAAAAAGGCGTGCTGGTCCACTGTCTAGCTGGTATAAGTCGTTCCGTTACCATAACCCTTGCCTACCTAATGCAGAAAATGAACATGCCCCTTAATGACGCATATGACTTTGTTCGACAGCGAAAGACTAACATTTCACCAAATTTTAACTTTTTGGGACAATTAATGGATTTCGAACGACAGTTAAACCTCACTCCATGTTGTTTTATGTGCCAAGGAGCGCCATGTCGGTGTCAAACATTTCATTTTATGTCGCCCACTCAGACCACACCAGATTCTGGGATTGACATTGATCGCTGGTCGTAAGCCCCAAGTGAATAATTTCAGGTGAAGCGCCATCTAGGAACACAGATTCTACTGACATTTTCAACTTGCTGTGTCATGCCACTTACCGTGAAAGAACTACAGCAACTTCATTTAGAGAGAAGGACTTTTGTTGACCAACAGATTGGGCAAATACAGACTAATGAGATCGTATGAAATCCAAACTTGATTTATTAGTTTTTTGTTTTGTTTTTTCAATTCCCCCAGTTTGATTGAAGGACTTGTGCTGGCACAGTCCTCGTTAGAATTGAAAGATAGAGTTTGTTAACATGAGAGTTTTGTACATAAACATATATAGTTAAACACAGGAATTTAATGAGACGAGAAACACATTCTCATATATTCCCTTTCCTTCAAGAATTCTAGTCGTAGTATCTCCATTTCAGATCCACTTTGTCATGTAATCAATCAAATTTTTAACAGATCATATTTTAATGAGAAATGTTCACTTTAAAGTTAAGGATTTCGGACAAACTTGGAATGAGTTTCTCAACGTAATGTTATGTGTCTGAATGTTGAGGGAGTTTAATTAATAGCAATTTTTAGGAACTGGGGGTATCGATATAAAACATGTTGACCAATGGTATTAACATTAGAGAAAAAGGTTTATTGCGTGTAGTAGAATTTTGACGCATTGATATCACATAAACAAATTTTGGTAAATTGTTTTACACCTATTTAGGTATATAAGGTGAAATTATATATTATATGTATACATGTTATACTATGACATCACTTATAATATGATCATGACATTATGATGATGTAAATACTTCTGACACTTCATGACAAGGCTTGATAATAGCTGAAGTAAACCTTTACGCTGTATCCATTTGTTACATCTTACGTCAGTTTTATTTTGTCCCCCCCAGTGGCACAGCGGTATGTCTGCGGACTTACAATGCTAGAAACCGGGTTTCGATACCCGTGGTAGGCAGAGCACAGATAGCCCTTTGTGTAGCTTTGTGCTTAACTACCAAGAAACAGTTTTATTTTAGTGCCAAAATTTCTGTGAGGTCTGCTGCTAATTCTTATTACTGAAAGTTTCTAGGCTTAAGGAGTTTTTCTTGTAGATGTCGCTGCAAGCATCTATTATCAGCCGTAAGTTACTTGTCTTGCTAGGGGAAAAAAAAGATTAGGCCACTTGCTGTTTCATCTTTAAGGTAGAGTGACTTACTTGTTTATATATATATATATGTTAAAAGAGCTAGAAATCTATATTAGTTTATTCATGTCATGGCATTTGTTAATCAAGTAAAATGGTAAAAAATATGGGTGCTTGATGATACCTTAAATTTGTGCCTCACTAATATTACGTTGTAAAATAAAATGTCTAAATCCTGTTCAAGATATTATTTGTGTTAGGATGTTCCTTGCACATCCAAAATTAAAACATTTAAAGTTTAGGATGCAACCATCATGATTGTTCAATACTGTTACTATAAGATCTTGTAATTATAACGTTAAAGCAGACGGAATTGACTTGTAACCTCTAAAAGGATTTGACTTTAATTTGATTTTTTATATGATGTAAGCTGTGTCGTCTAGGAATTGTTAAAAGTGACCTTGTTAAGGAGGTCGTTTTGGAAAATTATAACGTTACTCTATCAATGTTCTCAAACGTAAAAAAAAAATTAAAGTGTTGAGGAGGGGGTGCATTGTATTATAAATCCAATAAAACATGCTGGTCAATAAAGGTAACTTACTTAGTTTAAAAATACTGTTGGCGAAGTTCACGTTTGTTGAAATCAAATTGCTGATCTCAGAGTTATGGCGTGTGTGATCATACTTCACATAATCCTGCCAATGATTTCGCCCAAAATTTGTAATTTGATAAATATAATTGATTTTGTAATTTCGTTTTGGTTACGATTACACACGAAAATATATTAATGTTTAGCGAAAACGTACAATATTTAATGAGAAAAGCCCATTAAATACTATAAATTCTTTTTGTTGCAGTTAAAAGTTACGAATGATAAAACTTTTTTAAAAAAAGTGTTTCAGAAAACAAATGCGTGTCTTATATATGTGTTATATCCTTCCTATGTAAGTACAGATATCCAACTATTGCATGTGTTCACGCCTTTTGTTTTAGTTTTACATCTTTTCATACCCGATATTGTTGATATTATGGTTTTATAAAATACATTCCATATTTTTTTTACCTCAAACTTCACTCTGCTGATAAACGAAATTCGCCACAAATTACATAATTTCCATTCCCTGTACAGAAATTCATTGTCTGTTTTAATGTTGTGGTGTGGGGTTAAATATGGAGACAAATGTATATAATATATGAATACAGAGAAAGTAACGAATGTTTAAAAGGAGAAAGGTTTTATCCTGTGACATTTTTGTATTTCTTTTTCTCAACAATAAAGTTGTATTATATTTTGAAGAAAACCTTTGTTGTCTTGTCTTATCTAAGGCACATCCATACAGATGAGGATTAGTAACCGAAAATTCAGTTTACTTATTCTGTTCCATTAAATACTGTCATATCGTTATGTCCAAGAAAGAAAATATACGCTAAAACTTAATTATATGTTAACTTTCTAACCACATAAGTATTTTAATTAAAAATAAATAAGAAAAAATATTTTATTTAAAAACAATATTTCATGTTTTTTTCCGTCGGTTACACTTTGCTAGATATCTGTTAATACCTAAAGCATAATATGCTATCAGAGGTTCGGAAATTGTAGAACACAATAAACGAGATACCAGATTAATATAATACCACAAATACACGCACATGTATATATATAGAGAGAGACATTCAAAGTTTCTCAACCATGTAATCGTTAATGGACATTCAAGGCTTCTCAACCAGCTAATCTTTAATAAAAAAAGGCTGCTGATGTCTTATTGAACAGTGATTGATTTGACTACAGATTGTTATAAAGAAGACAAATACAAATTAAATTTGTTTTTTGTTTTAATCCTGTCCCGTTAGCTAAAGGCAAGAGTGAATAAAAGAGCGAAATTTTATATCTCTTAATATTTAGCAATATTAATCCATACAAATTACGATTAATCTAAATGTTATGGAGATCAAGTTTTACTTCCAATATTAAATCAATATAAGTTTCTCATTTTTCATTACTATCAACAAAATATTCTCTTCGATATAACATTTACAAAATATATTGTTACATAATGCAAATTTTGTCATAGAAAAAAAAACTGATTGCGAAACTTTATTAAGCTATCATTTAGTGTTAATCTAATTTATTTCAACCACCTGCCCAATGTGTTATACTTCCCCGTTTACACGCTATCTTGTAATATCATATATACTAGAAATTTGTATATGTAAGTTAATTTGAGTATTGAAACACTACAACTGAGTCTGCATTAGAAATTTAGTGTTATGGTGCCATATACTACTTGAAACGAACACTGGAAAATCAACAATTTGTTTGCTTGATTTAAAAAATTCATGACTCTTACTTTATTATTATATTAACTTGACTAAAGTTACCTTTTACAGCATTTATTTCCATGGCATATTTAGTTCTTTGCTTCGATTTTAAAACAGAGATGTATTTAAACTGTCTAACACATTGTCATTCAATATCGTTTTGTGGATTTTGTTTTGTTTTAGCGTAAAACAGCAAAATGGGTTGTCCGCCGTGAGGATCAAACCTCAAGTTATGAGCTCTCAAGCTTACCGTTTAGCTACCAGGTTACGTTCTTCAATACACTTATTTATTTTGAACTTTAGACGACTAATAAACTCATTAGTAATTAACACATAGAATAAGACCAACTTATGAAACCAAATTACTTCAAAACGTGGTAACAAAATATGATTTTACTCATTTTGTGAGATTAATTCTGTGTTAAGAAGCTAGCTATACGGCATTTCTCCACGACCATTATTTTATTTTATTTCATTTGTTCAAATTGGAGCGTTAAACGGAGAACATATTAGTGTTACATGAAAAGAAAATTACGTTCGTGGAGAAATGTCGAGTTTATTAATGTAAAAATATATTTAACTGAACTCAGATCTTTAAATATAAACTGTTCCGCTTCAACACAATATTGTGAAAATGTAAGTCTTTGTTAACAAACTTAAATTGTTCTTGTTTTTTAGGTCATATTAATATATGTAGATATTACTGCATTATCACAGGTAACTACACAATTTAACATCACAAGTGTTTGTTTCTTTGTACAGTCTATTACTATTTAATTGATTTCTTGAATTCCGTCTTTAATGTATGGCCATATTATAAATGTATCGCTAACATTTCTTAGCGACTGTTTTGAGGTCATTATCTTCCAGATGTAGAGGTTACTGAGTATTTGTGATAGGAGTGGGCCCATAGCTTGACCTTCTTGTTGTTGGAAGTATGATTTTCAAACTGTAGTGTGTCAGGGCTGGTACGTTAGCGAATAGATTGGATAGTATCGTTGTATTCCTTTAGGTTATGGTGGTTGGTTTTATACTATCTATAAAGTGGACTTTATTCTTATTATTTAATAATGTAGCACCGGTTAATCGTGATATTATACCTACAATCTGTCTACGTAAGGGGTGGCACGTTTAACCTACGCTGTTAAGTATGGGATGACCTTGTTTGTGTAGGTGTACTGTGATGTAGTGTACGATGTTGGAATGCATCCGTTCCAAGTTCATTTTGATGTTTCTTGATGAACTGGTTAACCTTCCTCTGGAATAGACATACACTGGTTGAATATAGTGACAATATTTAACTAAAGTTTGGAGCTTGGTGGTGTATTCCTCATTACTCATGGTTACAGTGACATTATCTTTACCTGCTGATGAAATTGTTATGATT